GGGTGTTTGTGTAACTAAATCGATTATTTCATTAATAAATTAACAGAGATCCGTTAACTTGGACGGAAAATAGCACGATTGAACAAAATTGGCAAAAATTTTAAATATTGGGGTAAATAAGACTAACTGAAAATCTATTGGGTAAAATTGACGCTGAGGGCAAAATTTTGAATAGGAAAGCCATTTTTTCCCATCAAAGAAGATAATTCCTGTTTATCGCCTACTGAGTTGTGCTGCAAAGATATTAATTGACATGATATGTTTTGAATCTCTTGTAAGAATCGCCTGAGTTCTTGGAAAATGATCGTGGTAGATGAACATCTAGTTCAACGTCTACAATAAGCTTTTTGTTCCAAAAACAAATAATCATATTTTATTGAACTGAAACATAGCAACAGAACAGTTTTTTTAGATATGAAAAGATAATAAAAATAAAAGTAGACGACCTTCTAATAAATTTTTTTAATTTGTATTAAAACTAGTGTAAATCTCAAAATTCAATGTAAATTTTTTTTTTTTAATTTTTTTTGGTACAGAAGTAGTGAAAAAGGAGATTGATACACAGCAAATGAAACAACAAAATTAATTTTAGGGATGAGGTTGCTACTGGGGGCCAAATGTCATTTCCCAACCGAAGACATGATAAAAGAACATAAAAGAACTAGAAGCATGGTCAACTAAAATTTCTATCAGGGAAGCTACGTTAGGGTGGTTGCCGGAGCTAGCTTTTTCTGATGTCTCAATCCACCGAAAGCTTTATAGGGTTTAGCAGCTACCATTTTATGTTGTTTGAGTAATTTATGTTGACTTTCACAATGTTTGAGAGAATTATATAATCATATGGTCTTCTGCTTTATTCTTTATCGATCAAAATGTTGCCATTTACGCAGTCTTGGTAACTCTCTTTGATAATGCCAAATTAATCAGCATTAATGTTTCTTAATTTCTTTTGTTCTTCACTTATTCTTTTTGAAGGGAAAAAGAAGATAGTAAAGGTGGAGAAATATAATCAAGAGCTCGACAGGTTTTGGGAGAGTAATTTGTTGAATCAAAAATCGAAAAAACAACTACTTAAAAAAAGACATAACTAATATTAATTGGTTGAACTAGTTCAATTGTTGATTTTTCAAATTGATTTATTATTATTGTTACTTTTATGCAAAGAAAATGGTTTTCTTTTTTTAATACATTACAAGCACTTAAAAAGGTGGAATTTGCTAGGAAAGGACATACTACTACATTCTATTATTGGAAGAGACTCAACGCATGTCTTTTTTGTGTTTGTTCATCAAGTACTTAATTTTTCCACTTAAAAGGGCTCCAGAATGCAATATCCAATAAAGAAACACTTTGAAATCGAACACTCAGCCAATTATTATCGGAGTTGCCTTTGGATTTTTTTACTTGGATGAGGCCATTTTCCCAGGGAATTATGCATTTATACTCCCGCTATTTTACAAAAGAAAAAAAAGAGAGTCTTTATTCGATTTTCAAATTTATACAAAAACTAATTTAAAAAATTCAAAAACTCAATAAAGATTATTTATTTTGGAGAGAGTAGTTCTTAACAAACGCATGAACATTGGTTTTGGGAGTCTCAAATACTTTCCAAGGGGCAAAGTTTTCTAAAATACGAAGGGCAAAAGGAAACTTGTCAAGAAAACCAAGAGACTCTAATGTCATTTTCTTTTTGTAACTCCGAAATTTATTTATTTATTTTTGGAAGTAACCCGAAACTGATTAGAAATAGGCAAACCTACGCCAGAAATATAAAGACTTTTAACCAGAAATAAATTAATAGTTATAGTTTCTATTCCACAACACTATTTCAACTTTTAGGAACGTCACCCTTAATATCTATCTATCTATAATAATAACAATAATAATAATAATATAATAATAGCCCCCATTATAGCAAAAATCATGTTTCTCCTAAAATTCCAAATGCCACACTTTCCTTAAAAGTCTCCCCATCCAAAGTCCAAAAGATGTCTTTTTAATTTACCCAAAATCCAAAAGATGCCGGTTTAATTTATTTAATTTAACTCATTTATCAAAAAAAAAATGAAATTGTTCAAATACATCCATGACTTCCAACTAAACCGTGATTCTTTCAGATAACAGACACCCAAACAACTTCTACGTTCTCCATTAAATATTTTTGAAAACCGCCTCAAAGAAGAAAACCTCCATAAGTTTTTATAAATTTAGAGAGAACTCCAAAATTTATATCTAACAGAAAAGATTAAGAATGGCATTATAGCTGGATAAAAGTGAGGTGCTAGCAAAACAAATTCAATTCCGATAACTTCATAGTCGGCAGCTATGGGCAAATAAAAGAAGACCACAAAATTCCTATTCTCCAAAGTTGCAAAATTATGATAACTAGGCGCCACTGCAATCGAAGAGTCGCATGCAGTGTGTATCAACAAAAGATTGAGTAATATTTTTTTACATTCTGACTTTGGGAATTAAATTTAGATTCATCAAATTTTATTGTTTTACATGATATTTGCAGGACCTCAAAAATAAAATTGTCAAGAACCTCTTAATCTATTCTTACTTCACTGGGGTTTTTTTTTCCATTTCATTGCAATTTATAATTTCTTTTTGATTAGTAAATTAAGTTTATGATGTATTCATCCATTCATCTTTATTACATGATTAACGATTTTCTTTTACATAACGTTACACTCTCCTCATACTTTTATTTTTTCTATTGTCTTTGTTTAAATAAAAATAATAGACATTAGTCTAATTCATACCCGTGTATGCGCACGGGTCAAGGATCTAGTTATTATTATACTTGAATAACTAAGAGACAAATTTCAAATAACTATCAACCATATTTCGGTGCATCTTTGCTTGTATAAGCTCGAAATATTGCTTACTAATCACGAAGATTCACCGGAAATCTTGTCTGCAGGAAGATGCTTAAGTAAACAAGGATTGATGTGACTCATTCGATACTGAAATGTGCTTCTTATTATTATTATTATTATTATTATTATTATTATTATTATTATTATTATTATTATTATTATTATTATTATTATCTCTGTTGGAAAACCCTTATACGATTTCATGATAATAAACTTTTTTTGTTTATTTTCTATATCACCCAACCCTTCTGATCACTCCTTAAACCATTAGGCGACATTCATTTGTATGAATTAAAATTGACGCTTAATAAGGGGAATTGGAAAATACACAAAAAAAAAAGAATAGTAAAAAAGGTTAAAAAGATCTAGTCCTTTACATTCTATGACTATCAATGAATCAAATCATACGCCAAATTCTTTACCAAGAAATCAAACTGAAATACTGTTAAACTTTGAAAACTGAAACGTATGTATACAATGATACAACTTTTCTTAATCCAACTTGCTTGCCAATGGTTGACATAATGAATTGACAAGGTAGCATTTTCGTACGTCAATCGGCAAAGAAAAAGGTGATGTGAATTTATAATCACTCGTGGAGAAATGATAGAATTATTGTTCTACAGGAATGATTTGATGCAAGTAAAATGATCAATAGCAATACGCCCCTTTAATTTCTTAAGCATTTTTTTTTCCGTGAATAAGGAAAGTTCCACCGAACTGCCATACGATCTATTAAAAAGTGATCTATTAATCTCAATACGCATGGTTCATTTAATGTTAATACGGGCATGTCTAGTGCGGGTAGCTTGTTGAGGGACCATTTGGGTCAATGGTGCAGAGATTTACAGTGAATGTAGGGTTTTGTTTAATCACTGGGCCGAGCTATGGGGTTTATATCAAGGGTTGTATCTTGCCTGGACGATAGGAATGGGGGAGCTATTACGGAGAGAATGAGATGTCGAGGTGAAGCATACATATCGTCAGTTGAATTTTGCTGCAGATTCATTGGCTACTTTTACGCCTTCTAGCTCTGGGGATTGATGTGGTTAGATGACCCACCAGTTACCTTGAAACTATGGCTTCAACATGATATAGTTAGTGTCTTTTCTTAACGAGGTATAATACTCTAGTTTATTAGACATATGCGTCCTTCATTTGTATAAAAAAAAAAAAAAAAACCAGTAATTCATCGATATTATTAATTCGAGGGCACATACAAAATTACATATATATAGTTAGAGTTTGTCAAGAGTATGTTCACATTACAAAATTAAGTTCATTAAAAGTAAAGGACAATTTAGAAGACAGGTAACATCAGTAAGAGATTCTGGTCTCTTAATATTTGTAAAACAAAGGTATATTTACACATCAAATGTACTATTTCCTAGTTTTATTATAACGGTTAACCAATATTATGTTTCCTTTAGTTTGATTTTAGAGGTTAAAATATTGGCTATGATTACAAAGCAAATGACGGCATGAAAATCTTCCATATATTCTGCATGTCTTGTAATCTTTATTTTTTTGGACTGCCGGAATGGAAACAAGATGTGCAATATCCTTATCCAATTACTTGAACTTGTCTAAACTGATGTTGACGTTTTCTTTTTTTTTTTTTCCAAAAACATACATAAGATATCGGGGGCGGTGGAGGACAAAACCTAGATGTTTGGTATAATAAACAAAATCGACATGTTTTTTTGGTAAATTTAAAGAACCAACTATGAACTTTTGCAACAACAAAGGAAAAAAAAAAGGTAATGTTAGATTACCTAGTGTGCGTAGATATTAGCATAACGAAGTGGATTGGACTTGATATATAAACAGTGTTAAATATCTCTGATTTTCAGGATCAAAGATCTATAGAGAAGTAAATGTTATTACGGATTTTTGGGTTTGTAAAAATTAACATGGTGAATTTTAAGCGCTGAATGCTTTGTTTTTTTTTTAGGTAGCATTGCAGGAAAATTAGAGAAACGGCCATTGCCATCTATACAATACTAAACCAAGAGCAAATGAATTCAATGGGAACATTAGAGAGTGAGTTATCGTAGAGTGTCTCTGTCGTGATAGGAGTAGGACAAAAACGCCAAGAAAAAACAACCAAATACAGAATTCTGCAAAATCTTTTGAAATCTCCTTGCCGTTTGGTAGGATTGATGAAGCCAAACTTTAAACTCGACATCAAAACTTCAATTTACCCCATCTTAACTACAAATGAAATGTCACCTTAAGGTTCACTTCTTCAACAAAAAGAGCCACAGAAGATGAAAGGCACACACTTTGTGTGAAAAACATAGGGGCATGAACAGGGAGAGTAACTAATGTATCCTTGAGTTCCTAATTGATGAAATAAGTGATGTTCTTCATTCTAAGATACTGAGTGAGAGGTTAGTCATGAATTACATACTATCAGAATTTACAGAAATCTGCAATCAGTGACCTAAGGTCCTAAGCTTGCTTGAATCTTCTTCTCTTCGTTTTTCTTCTTCCAATAAATTTGAGGATTTCATCAATAAGGATTACAGGAGAAGAGATCAAGAGAACCAGAAGCCACTCATTAGCAGTTAGCGGAACTATACCGAATACATCTGCCAAGAAAGGCACATAGAGGATCAAGCAATGTAAGCCTAATGAGATTGAAATGGCCATAAGCAGCCAGGGATTTCTCCATGGAGGCATTCTGATCAAACTGTTATCTTCTGAGAGAGCATTTAGAGAATTAAACATCTCAATAGCCACCAAGACCGAGAGGGACAAGGTCATTGCCTTCACTTTCCCAACAGAGAAATAATCACAAGGGTTGATGAATGTTATTGCACGGCCACCAGCAACAGTAAATGGAGTGATTGTAAAATTTGACCATCTTCGGCACTCTCCCCAGTTGAGAAGCTGGGATAGTTCAATTATTGTGTGGCCGTCACTGATCAGACTAATACCCAAAAAAGAAGCCCGAGTGTACCATAGAATGAATATACCAACAGTAGCAACACCAACATAAGACCCGATTATCTGCAAGGACATTAATGAATTGCTCACTAAAATACACTACTCAAAACGCTGATAACTAAGTCAATGATACTTGTAAATTGTAAGCTGTAAATTGCATTGACACCATCTCCTGAGCATTTGGAACATGAAAATTTATTCTTCAGTGTGCATAGAACAATATGCAGGCCATATGTATTATAATGGTAAAAGTGACAGGAACAGATGATACTCCATCACTCTGACTGACTTACAGCTATAAGAATAGAACGATCAAAGATTTTACACTACATGTGACACAAACAGTTTTTATCATTCAATTTACACCAATCAGTGGATTGTTGCTGTGAACAACAGAGCTCTTATGATCAAATGCAACAGCAGCAGATAGTTTACAAATTTAACAAACTCAATCATTTTCAACTCCACACATTCTAAAAGCAGAAAGTCAAGAATAAAAGATTCAGCAGAAAGCAAGACAGAGCAAAGACATATGATGGCGCAAGTATGCTATAATCATACCATATACCGAAAGAGCACCCAAGAATCAATCAGAGCATCATTGTTCTTCCGCGGAGCTTTTTGCATTATGTCCACATCAGCAGGGTTGAAACCTAGAGCTGTGGCAGGTGGGCCATCTGTGACCAAATTTACCCAGAGCAACTGCACAGGCGTCATGCATTCTGGTAATCCGATAGCAGCAGTCAAGAAAACAGATATAACTTCCCCAAAATTCGATGATATCATGTATCTGCAAGTGAAAGAAGATCAAAAAAATTTCATGTTGGTAATAAACCAAGAAAGAGTCCCGAAATACAGACCTGATGAAAGCTTTCATATTATTGTAAATTGAACGACCCTCCGCAATGGCAGAAACTATAGTACTGAAATTGTCATCAGCAAGAACCATATCTGATGCTTCTTTCGCAACCTAAAAGCATGCACAAAGGGGTTAACTATCAAGGAAACTGAAAATGGCAGAGTAATTTAAGGTTGTCCGGAGCACTCTATCTATCAATTTTAAGCCATTATCATGTACATCTGAGACCTATTGTAGAGTTTTCTAATGTTGGCACAACCTTTCATATTTTAGAACCACAAGAAAAAAGGCTCTAAATCTTTACTAATTAGTAAGATTGCCAGAATATGAATGAAACATGAAAATCAAATTAAAACTAGCTACCGAATGAAGTTGCAAGATCACTGACCTCTGTCCCAGTGATGCCCATTGCAATTCCGATATCTGCAAGTTTCAAAGCAGGAGCATCATTAACACCATCACCAGTCATTGCAACAATCTCACCCATGTCCTTAAGCATTCGCACTATCTCTTGCTTGTGTCTAGGCTCAGCTCTCGAAAAAATCTTTCCCCCAGGTCTTGATAGTATCTCTAGTTGTTTTAATGAAGAAAGTTCAAAGAACTCTTTCCCTGTGAAGCTTCTCTCTCTGAGATCATCACCCTCAGGAAACAAATTAACTTCATGACAAATAGCCTCAGCAGTGGACTTATTATCTCCAGTTATCACCATCACCTTGATACCAGCTCCTCGGCAATCTTCAATTGCCTGTTTAACCTCTTCACGAGGAGGGTCCTGATGAGTCAGTTTTGTCAGAAGACATTCGAAGAGTGTCATATTTATGGAAAAATGATCTTAAATGTATAGTTTAAATGGTAATAGAAAGTACCCGCAAACCAACAACTCCAACAAACACTAGATTATTTTCAATAAGGGAGTAGCAGGAAGGGTCTAGCAATTTCTTAAATGCAGGATGACGTGCAGAATTTAAGTCTGAAAGTTCTCCCAAGTCATCCTTGTATGCCATACCCAAACATCGCAATCCTTTGGAACTCATCTCTGAGTTTCTCAGCAACAACAAGCGACGACAAGGTTCATCTATTGGTAAAATAGATCCATCAGCCAACTGCACAAAAGTACTGCGCTCCAACAGACTCTCAACAGCACCCTGCATGAGCAATATTAATATTTTCTCAGAAGCATGACACAATCATGAAACCAATGCCAAAGTACTGAAAAGAATGATAAAGCATGCAAGAAGCCTGAGTCAAAACAGAATGATTTGTACAGCTATTATAAAGCTTAATAGGAATATTGTCTGCAGCATACAAGACAGTGACTGTTCTTCCATTACTACTTCCAACAAAAACTAACATCATCAAGATAAGTTTTTACCTATTCCAGTGAGGAAGTCAAATGCTTCTTTACTAAATGCTTCATTACCTCCTATCAAAACACCATTGGAACTCACTACAGCAATGCAAAAGTCTCAACAAACGCCCCAGTCCCCGCAGATATTCAACCAAGTGGTGTTAATTTCAAGAATAGCCTTATATTTGATTGAAAAGACTCAAATGTATTTCAAAGTCTAACTGATGCAAAACTCCGCAAGAGATAAGACTTCCCACTCAGTAATTGAGTAAGTCTCATTAACAGCAACTTGCTAAAGCAGAGATGTATTACCTTGACAAGGAGTCGATTCTGCCCACTGGGCTCACGAACTATAACACTCATTGACTTGCGTACACGATCAAAACCCAAAGTGAAAACCCTCTTCGATCTTCTTGTCCACCACTCACAGCAGCCTGTGATTGAAAGATACGTTAAACTCAAAACTGCATCAGAACATAAAACTAAGTAATTATGTACATACAAACTCATTAACCTAACCTAATTTCACGGTGTTACGATCTATCATGTACTTCATGGCAAGCTGTGCATCTAGAATTCTGGTTCTTGCCTTCCTGTCTGGAACCCCCATTTTTTCAACCAAAACTTTCAGAGCTGCCTCAGTTGGTAGTCCTGTCACTTTGAACAGACGACCCTCACAAAATATACCTGAATCATTGCAGATTGCACATATTTCTGCCATTGCCTGCAAGTTTAATTCCATAGTTCTGCAGTTCCAATCCACAATTCCTCCATCCTTGGGGTCATAGGTTGTACCTTCAACCCGAAAAACTCGACAAGTTGTAAGTTTTGACCCCATTGTGAAGAATTCTTTGACAGACATCTGATTCGTTGTCAAGGTTCCAGTTTTATCTGAACAAATCACAGTAGTGCATCCCAAAGTCTCGACACTTGGAAGCTTCCTAACGATTGCATTCTTCTGAGCCATTTTTCTTGTACCAAGAGCTAGGCAAGTAGTTATCACTGCTGGAAGACCTTCAGGAATGGCTGCAACGGCAAGGACAACAGCAATCTCAAAATAGTAAGTACATTTTTCAAAGGAGAACTGAAAATTTGTGGGCCATCCACGATGAATCTCCCAAGTAAGGAAATATTTGTAATTGATAACCCATACAATAAGACATACAATGCCAATTATTGTTGTAAGCTTATTCCCAAATTCATCAAGCTTCTTCTTCAAAGGAGAATCACTTTCTTCAAGAGAAGCCTCGTGTATTTGTTTCTGAATCTTCCCAATTTCAGTGTGCATTCCTGTGCTAATAACAACACAGATGCAGCTTCCATTCACCACTGTTGTCCCAGCAAAAACCATATTCTCTTTAGCCAGCAGTTCACAATCATCCAAAAAGATAGGATCAGTGCCTTTAAGGACAGGCATTGCCTCCCCTGTCAATGAGCTTTGCTCAACTCTTACAGTTGAAGTTTTCAATGATGCAACCCTCATGTCAGCCGGTACTTTATCGCCAATTCTCAGTTCTACTATATCTCCAGGAACAAGTTCCTTAGCTGGCAAACAAGGCACTACATATCCGTCCCTCAAAACTTTGCAGGAGTCACATTGCATCTCCTTAAGGGCATCCAAAGCCTTTTCTGCATTATTTTCTTGCCAAACCCCAACAACTGCATTCAAAACCAAGATCAAAATGATCACAAAAGGCTCTACATAAGCTTCCAGCTGAGAATCCCCTGTTTCAGCTCCATGGAGGTGTGCTAAAACAAAAGAAATGAAGGCTGCAATTAGCAAAGTCTTGACAAGGATATCGTCAAACTGTTCCAGAAAAAGCCACCAAAGGGGCTTCCCCTTTTTCTGCTGGAGCTCATTTGGACCATACTTCTCTTTACGTTGCTCCACCTCGTAGGTACTCAAACCCTTCTCAATTTTCACAGAGAACTCTTTCAAACATTGTTCAACAGACCATGACCACGCAGGAATTGATTCTTCCTCCACAAATTTATTCATATCATATAGGTTATTTTTCCAACTTAGTTACCTGAACAAAGGAGATCCGATATATTTACTGCTTGCAGATATACAAATGAAAGAACCAATTGTAACTAACAAAATTATGAGAAATCATATTCTTTGAAATTCCCAAATATATCAACTTTAGAAGTGGGGTAACTAGACAGCAAAGGCAGCGTGGCAAAAAATGAATTCTGAAACCAAACAACAGAAAAACAATTAATGTCCTCATCCATCTACTCACCTAGGCATAAATGCCATTCGTATCAATTATGAGCCCAATTAAATGCACCTCAATAAAATTACCAACCGAGCTCAATTAACTACACAGAAAATTATGCACAAAGAACTAGCGATATGTAACCCAGACAAAACCCGGCAAGTTAAATACAAACCAAAAGCGTTTTAACACCATACCCACCCAAAAGATCAAACAAAAACAAGAAATCTTTGAAGAAGATGTATGATTATACCAATTCCATTAGCAGAAACAAGCGAAATACAGAAAACCAGAATGAAAAGCTTCAATCTTTAGCAAATGTTGGCAGAATCCAGCAACCCAAGAAACAATATATCTAATTAACTATCTACCGAGGAAGCAAGAAAAGTCAATGAGGAGGATGACCGAATGTAAACAAGAAAACGATTGCTAATCTTTGAGACTCGATTTCTATTATTCAACAACAAGACATAATAGGAGGAGGAGCGATAAAAATCAATTAACAATTTCTACCTGAGCGGCCTTGTAGGAATTCATAGTATCATCAGCAGCCTCATCCTAGGGGTCATCTCAGCTAAGTACCAAGGCTAAGCTCCCTTTATGGTGAAATATAAAACTATGATTCAGTAGAGGAGAGTGACGGCACCAAATTCTGAGTTCAAAAGCTTTAGAATTCCGGCGCAAAATTGAGTGAACTCATCCTCTTCTTGCCCAATTGACGAGACGCTTTCATTGACGTTAACCTTGTTCACTCTCGGGGGTAAGGATCCCTTGAAGTTCACCGGCGGCGAGGTGTTTCATCGGCGATGGGAGATGAAGGCGCCGGCAATGGTGGATTTGGGTGATTTTGTTCGGACTGAAGCGCCGTTTTGCCAAATTTTGGGGCGAAATAATTTGCACTTTTTAAGATGAAGAGCCGTTTTTTCATTTAAAATCCTTTTTTGCCCCTCCCTAGAATTAAACCTGATGTTTGTCCCAGTCAACATTTTGATTTTTTATTTTTTTTTTGCAAAAAAAAATGTTTTTGATCATTCATGTTGACTTTGCTAGTTGGTGTGCACCAGCCCAATTTCTTATCATTCACCCAAAAATGTTGAACAAATATAATTCATTAGACATTACAATTTACAAACATAGTTTATACACTATAGAATATAGATTGGGACGTAGAATTTCATCAATATAACTTTGTGGTATATTCATTATCGAAAGAATGTTTTTTTTCCTTCAATACATGGATAAATTTTATCGAGGATCGGTGCATAGTGACAACTGATAAAAGATTATCATTCCTTGATGATGCTATTCCATAGGTTTCATTCATGTACAACTATTGTCTACTAATATCATTTGGGAGTCTGCGTCCGAAGTTAGGATTTTTTCTGCGTTGTATTTGTAATGCCAACAGTGGACATACATGTTCGGTAGTTCTATTGTATTGTCAACCAAGATTTTTTTGTCCTTATTAAATTTTGTGTAAAAGGATCGGTGTAAGTTGTGCTCTTTGATTGTTCTTTCTCATTGTAAATCGTATTTACATGTTTTTTGGTGTAATTAATGATGTTTTAGTTAAAATTAGAAAAAAAAAAGTATAACAAATTACTGTATTCCCGTTATCCAGAAAAAAAAAATTGCTTGATTTTTACTTTTAGTACGATTTAGGTTATGAAAAATAATAATCTACACAGAATAATTATTTTGGGACAGAAGAAATATATATACATATTAGTGAAAAGAAAAATCATTGAACTTCTTAAAAATGTCTCACAAAGGTCAATGGGTACGATGAAAAGTGTAAAGAAGTCCTTTTTTTTTATGTTATTTGGACTATAAAATAGGTAGAAGCCTAAAAATGTATTTAAGGATACTAGGTGTGCAAACTTACAATATTATGTTCTGCTAAAGACCAAACCAACCAGTGGAGGAAACATAAGTCATTGTAACCTCATGAACTTTTCACAACTAGCGACAACATATCAATACACAATACAATCATACAAATACTACCATGTACTAGTATTATTATGATCTTTATTTCTACTAGATTCTGCAACACATAATAATGCTGAACAAAGCAGCCAAAAGATTCAAAGGAACAAAAAAATTCCGAAACAAGCCAATAATAAGTATTCATCTCAGTTAATTCGGGCAAAATCAAGTGACTTCTTGCCTTCATGAGCTTTTCCAAAGAAGTTGTTCATATAGTCCTGAAATATCACTTCCCTGTAGTGAGCCACCCCGTCACGTTCAACCAGTTGAGGCAATGGACTGATCTTTTCTGTTGGTTTTGGTATAGTGAAAATTGGTATGGACACTCGTGACTGTTTGCTTGTGGTCCGAACTCTATGTTCAGCACTTTTGTACCTTCCATTACTTATAATCTGTCCAACCAAATTTACTTATCAACAACAAAAAGAGTGGTCATGTTGTCATAGTATTTGAATTAATGAAATGATTTACTCTCTGGTCCCAAAAAGTTACTCCATATTAAATTTTGAAATTTGTATTAATATGAGCTAAAGAGTGATAATATTTTACATTAATTCATATTTAACCAATGAAATGATTTACTCTTTCGTCCTAAGAAAATAGTCTACATAGAGTTTTGAGATTTTATATTAATATAGATTTTTTTTTTTGACGTAAGAAATAGTATTTATATGTAAATAAACTGAAGTTTAATGATGGATATAAGGTCTAACCTGTAGTGCATCACCAATATTGATCACCAAAGCACCAGGACATGGTGGAATTGCAATCCACTCCTCTTTCTGACCTGCAGATAAATCTTTTTCCACCTTTACTTGCAAACCTCCGATACCATCTTGAAGTAATATGGTTAAGGTGCCCATGTCAGAATGGCGTCCCACTCCAACTGTGAGATCTGGATTAGGGCAAGCTGGGTAAAAGTTCATGTTTACCATCTTTAGACCTATTAGTGAATCTAATTTTGAGTCCTCTAACTTTTCTCCAAGATTTTCAAATAAAATTGTCAACAGCCTTCGCACCATCTGATTTGAGGATTTTAAGTAGTCGAGGGCCACTTCTCTGGAAAATCAATGACATCATAAACGTTAGTTCAGTGATGGACTGAAAACTTTGAAATTGCGGAATATACCCCTACTAAGAAAAAATCCGGCCAGATTGACTCCTTGGATTCCGTCCATGCGTTAATTTAGCGTCACAATAAAAAATGCATTGACAGAGAAACAATATATATTGATAAAGTTATAGTGATTTTCGATATTACTAATACATCAATTATTCATTTATTGGTTGTCACGGTTAGAATAGTACATGTGACAAACCTGTTTTGATAGTCATTTTCTATTAAACTTATTAAATAGTATAACAAAATAAACTATTGAAATCAAACATGAGAGTGTACTCAAAACTTTCGAGCAATTAACAGAAAGCTTTCGCATTCAAAATAAGGATAATTAAAATTTTCTTGCAGTTTCTGCCACAAATTATTGAATCAAACTGTGAGTTTTGAGATTTGTAATTGTTAGATTATTTTGTCTTTGGACAAAAATAATAATATCTTACTTGCAGAGCATGGGCCAATGCTCAAGAGCCTCAGAATCATTACTGTAAATCATGTTGAGAAAATCTTTCCATTCCAAAGCCTTTTCTTTCTCCGGGGCAAAGCTTGTTCCATACTTCACGAGGTGGCTCCGTCCCTCTGCCGGGAGATACACCGCCTTTTTCTCCGAAGGTTGAGCGAAAAACTGGTGGGCAGCCAGTTTGAGAGACTCCAGGAGATCCACGGGGACACCATGGTTAACCAATTGGAAGAATCCAAATGTTTCAGAAGCATTAACAATGGCTTTCACTACTTGATCATGGTTAGGACCATCTAGCAGTGATAAATCAATTGGGGAAATAAACTGCTGATATGGTGATTTTTCTGATCCCACAATTTTATGGATACGCTCAGATGATGGTTGAATGTATTTTTTCGGGACTTTTTCTATTCCCGAATCCACTAGACCTTTAACTCCATTCCCATTTCGGACAACAAAATCAAACAAAGAGTTGGTGTCTTCAAAAGATGGAGCCATTTTTTTTTTTTTTCCGTGAAATTGAGGAAATTTTTGGTGTTTGATTTAGGATGATTAAAAGTTTATCTGGTTGTAGTTGCTTGTTCCATTATGCCACACCGAAGGGTTGCAATTTATAGCCTTGTAAGTTGTGATGCATGTTGTCGGTTTGATTTTCTTCAGGCAGCTGCCACGTACTCAGGGGAATTATAAAAATTTGACGAGTCAAACTAAAAAAAAAAATTGATAAAATTCGTAGGTTGATTGAGTCAGGTCAGTTCATATGATCTCAGCTTGAATAAAGAGTCTTTTGCTATTTATTAATTTCCCATGACTTCTTTGGGAGCGAGGAGCGTTAAATCGCTGCCAAATTAAAACATGATACAACATATGCCTATATTGAAACAAAAACAATGTTTAATTTTTTTAATTAAGGCGTTACACCTATTTTTTTATACGGAAAAGGACAACATTTGTCTAACAATATATATAAATTTTTATGGTACTTGCTTATCTTATAAAGATACATAAAATATTCTTGAAAGGACCTAACTGACTCGAATCCGGATTAGTCGAACTCATCACTCCGGATATTTAGTGCGTAATAAAAAAAAAAAACAAAAGATACACAAAATAGAACATCTTACCTTTTGTTCCACATTGTATGCCTTTTTTCTCCCTCCCAAATTATACTATTCTTTCAGGTTTTAACCCAGAAGATGAAATGACTTTTTTTAAATTGAAATAATGTAAATAGTGGGATTTATTTGACAATTAGAAAAGTTTTATTGAACCAACCTGATCGTCGATCAATCATGAGTAAAAGTCAAATTTAAAAATCAAATTTATATAATTCAGCTTGTTTACATTCGTGAACTAGTTTTCTTGATCGAATTATAAGCGCAAGTACGTAATACTTAAATTTCTCAGTTGATTATTTACCCTCAAATAATGCAAATGACTTCTTTCTTCCAGAGGAAATCGGTCCATATGTTTAAAGGTCGTCCATATATTGATGATAACCACGTTCAAATTAGGCAATCCAATTGCCAATTTGATCAGTAAGTGGTTTAACTATGACCTAAAACATAAGTAAGTGCTGATGCTTTGCTTTCACTTCTTTATATCGGAGATGATGTTCAAATTTCAACTCTAAATATAGGCACTACTATACAGAGGTAAAACTTCAAAAGTCAAATAAAACACGTAGTTTCTTCTTTATACGCACATCATTAGAGGCGTTCTGCCAATTTGGCTGGTCCTCTTCATAATAAAACAGAGAGAAAAAAAAAAAAGTCAAATTGTCATACCTTTCTAGCATTTTATGGTTATCAGATAAATTCCATGGTAAAGACTGAACCCAAGATTTGGTGATTATTTTTCATCTTCACATCAAGAAAGTACATTCCGACGTACGCAAAACCGGAAAAGTGCATGCAGGGCTAAAAAGTGGCTGTCATGAAAAGTAGTAATGACTAATGACACTGCATTCTTTTCTTTTCTTTTCTTCTTCATCTGGGTGGAAATACTATTAGGGTTTGCTTGACCAAAGGAAAAAGGAAATGCGAGACCCTTTCTTCTAATGTCTGCTCTACAGTGTACTGTTAGGGTTATGAAACGGAATGCTGCTCCTATGCGAGGGAGGTGTAAGAAGAAGCACTTGCTCCACACGGGGGAGGAGGTTGCTTCCACGAGAGTTGGTGGTTCTTTCGGTAATTAGAAAGGCCGGGTTTAGGCGATAATGAATTGATCCCATCACAATCCGCAATGTGAGGATTTGATATTACAACTCTCACATGTAATTGTTCGCAAGTTAGAATGAACGGAAAAGTGCAGCATTTAAAAATATTTTATTACTATCAACATCTTTTTATCTGTCGCAACTCGCAAACTTTATTTTTTTTATTTATCGAACAATAGTTCTAATGCAGTATTAATTAAATACAATTATTTTCAATTACAACCCATCTCTCCATACTTGTAATAACATATACTAGTGTCACAGCTCGAACCATTGCTCGGGCGCTATTTTAAGAAATAGTAAATAATTTAAAAAATAGAAAAAAATGATATATTGTGACGATACCCTATTACCTCTTCTATGATCCTTCGATGTTATAGTTGATTATGTTAACTTTTAGACGGTTAAAGCTATTGGTTTACTATCATTGAGTTTTGGAGCTCATGTTTTTAATATTTGGAAGATATTCTCTTATTTAGATTAATATGTTAATTTTTGAAGTTAATTATGTTAATTAAGTATACGTAATTTGAGAAATAAAATTTGAGTAATTTTTAGGGCCGAAATAGAATTGTTGTGTCGAAAAACTTTGTTTTTATTTTGTACATGATTTACAGAACAAATAATAATAATAATAATAATAATAATAATAATAATTATTATTATTATTATTATTATTATTATTATTATTATATATTTAGTTAATTAATGTATAAAGAGTTTAATTTTAGTGAGAAAAATTTTTGATGAGAAGCTGCTATGTATCTTTAATATATAGCAACTGCTTTAAATAGGTAAAGGTAAATTAATAGCAACGATCCACTTTTTACTTTATTTTTTAAATTTTATATAGTCTCAATACTTTTAATTTGGAGCAACAAACATATGATACTTAAAAATTAAAGTCTCAATTAATGTTCTCTTAATATATGTGCATACCCTTATGGATTAAAAAAATGAAGGTAGTATCATGCGATCAATGATGCTTCAAGGGTTAGGATACATTCTGTACACTAGAAAGGGAATGAATGTATCGAAATCTTATTACATTTCTCATCTTTATGATGTTCAGTAAAAAGATAAATGACAGTGAGTCAGATTCCGTATGTAATATGATAATAGGATAGAAGTAATTTTATACATTTAATATTTACTAACAATATTTTATCACTAATTAAACAAAAATTTCAAAAGATTATTTTCACAAGGCAAAAAATTCCCGCCCCTATTCTCCATCCGATTGTGTAAATTATTATATTGAGATAATCATTCAAATTCAAAACTTATTTTTCTTTCTGAAATTTTAATTATTCACGAATGTGAAGATTAGTTAAATGATTTGGACATGGACATGACTTTTTCTTTTACAATATGGTTCTAGTTTTATAATGTTTGAGTAATTTAAAGATACTAAAATTTTGATGTCTCATCATTTCAATTTCGCTTAATGAGTTGATTTTGAGTATCAGTAGCTCAGGGAACCAAAGTACCATTCATTAAATAAATTATGATATGTCAAGTTATATTTGTTTCTATAAATTGATTCATGAAATCAATATCATCCATTTTGATTGTTCTTTTAAATGATAGTTTTAAAATTTTAAATTCATTAGAAAATTTATCATTTTTTCCATTTTCATTGTATATTGAGCAAGAAGACATTTCTAAGTATCGTAAAGAGAATTAAAGATTTTTTTAATGAATTGATTTTTCTTAACCAGAAATGATATTCTCATTCCATCATTCTCTTTCCAGTGCAAATAACGCACCCTTAGAATTTTAGTCTTTTAATTAGACAATTAATTACAAAAAAGAACCAAAAGGAAAAGGTCACCACGTGAAATGTTGAAATAAATGTGCGGACACTATAAATTAGATGGGACAAGTAACGACTGTGTTGGATAGTAGCAATAAATGAGAAAATAACTTTTGTGCTTAAAATTGTTCGAGCTTAATACATATGAGACCAGTGGACAAAACTACATAAAGGGAAAGGGGAAGAAGACTTCGGAAAGAAGCTAACGAAAAAAAGGGCAAACTGATGTAGTTAGATTTCAATGAAATTACACTGGCCTTAATTACAGCGACTTATTGAAAGCTAATCTAGAGCTTTTTCGCTGGACAATTGATGAATGTTTCTAGAGTGAAAATGTGAGAGACGGAAATTAGATTTGGGAGTTCTTGATAACCATATATCTCAAAACAAAAATGTCAAGGAAAAAGTGTACCACTCACATTTGTCAAGAGAAAGGAGTAATTTCTGACGTTTGGAAAAATGATTTGGATGGTAGTACTGATTAATTACTAAAATGTCGATATTACTCTTTCAAAAAAAAAACAAATCTATATTTTCTTCTATCTTAATTAAAAAAGGCATTTTCAAATAACTAAAAAAAAAAAATTCATCTTATGAACTACACTTAAATGTGTGTGAAAATCCTTACAATCCTTTGATAGGAATTGAATTCGGATATATTCTCAATTATACAGTATGCTAACCGCTAGACTTTTACTCAATTTCTAGTTATTGAAATACTAACAAGCATAGCTCTTGTATTTTTATGAGTTATCAATGATTATTTTGGGAGTTTAAACTTTGATTTTTTTTTTTTTGTGAATAATAGTTTCACACTATGTTCAAGAATTCGCAGGACATATATGTCCGCACATGATAGTAGTTGAACAAATTTATCATATACCTGTTATTCATTAATTAGAAACTAAAAAAAATATATTATAAATGATTAGAATTTCTTTTTTCTTTTTAAATAATTTTTCTTTAAAAAATAGATTTGCTTCAACAAAAAGATTCAATAGAAAGCCAACCGACAGCCAATTTGATGACAAAACACCCGTAAACATAGAGATGATTTTAAGACTCTTCATCCGTTAGAACATGTCATGTCCCAACAGAAGTTTGATCATTCCACCGGCTCAAACCACTCTTAGACTGATTCTAAAATCTAAAACTTTCTAGGCCGAAGATTGTCATGAGTCATAATTCAAATTGGCCCAATAAGTCTATAAGTTAGTGGAGGCCCGAATGATATTCTTTCCTGGTGTTCGGAATTTTCATCCTTCCGCCATTTACAGTATGTGACAGTCTTACAGCAGCAGCGGATCCATAACAAAAATACAGAGAAGGCCCACATAATATAAAAATAACAATGTAAAGAAAAAAATTTTCATCTACGATGATTGTTCATTTAAATTTTCACTTTTAATGTAAAATAAAATTTACATTTTACATTAGTTTGAGGTGAGGGAGTAATATTTATGACCACCATTAAACTCAATATCACTTTAAAGAAAGAAAAAAAAAAAAAACTCAACGTTCACAAGAATTAAGTGTTTTAAAATC